GGGAAGGGGGCGGGGAAAGGGGCGGGGCCTGGGGGAACGGGCAGGAGGGGCCGAAGGCAGGGAGCACGTGGAGGAGGAGGAAGGGGGAGGAGGGATCCGGTGGATCCCCGTGCGGCGGCGGCGGCGGCGCGGGATCTGCTCGGGCAATGGAATCAGATTCCGTGATCCCAAGAAATCCTGGTGTTGGAATGTGAGCAAAAGAGGGGAAGGAGTTCTCTTTTTCTGGATTGTTCTGGGGATTCTGGGCATTGTAGTCCCCAAAAGAAAGGAAGGACGAGGAACGGTTCCTTGCGTTCTTCTTAAGGAGAAAGGAAGGATGAAAAGGGTTTAAAAATAAATGTCTACAAACACACACACCAAAAGGGTAGCGAGACACCAAAGCCCATCGTCCCCAGCCAGCACGACCGGAAGGGCGGGGGAGGCACCAGAGTTGGGGAAGCTGGCTGTTTCCAGGTAGTCCCTTTCCACTGCTTTGGGGGGGGGGAAGCTCGACTCAAGGGACACCCCCAGCACCCAAGACGGTTCAGGCCCCTCCAGAAGCTGAGATGCGTGGACTATGTTGGACGACACTTTCCAGCGACACATGGGCCATGCCGGCTTAGGGGATTATGGGAGGGTGGGAAAGGGTGTTCTCCTTCCTCCTCCTGCTCCTCAAAGGAAGGAACCGGGTTTTGCAGTGACCCAGAATCCAAAGGAAAGTGGGCCGCGCTCCCTGGCCAAGGGGGAAAAGGCTGGCGCAGCTGCAACCGCAGCCAGAGGCCTGGGTACCAGTGGGGAGAGGATGCTGCTGCTGCTGCTAGGCTCTGATTGGTGCAGAGGGATGCCGGGAGTCCCCTCCTCCCATCCTCCTTCGCTCCCAGGGAGGATGCTCAGGGATTAGGGAAGCCACCTCCTGGAGCAGCTGCTCCCTCCCTCCCTCCCCACCCCGACCCCTTTCTGACTGACACACACTCCTCTCTGATGGAAGGGGTGCAGGCGAGATGAATGCTCCTGGGATCCATCGGGGTTACCTCCGCAAATATGGTGAGTCTTACCCCCACCCCCCAATTTCTCTTGCCCCAAAGGAGGGAGGAAGGCAGCGCCTCAAGTGACGTCTCAGCCTGCAACAGAGGTTGGTCCCTCCAGATGTTGTTGGAGCACAACTTCTATCGTCCCTGCCAGGGGTTGTGGCCTATGGGAGTTGAAGTCCAACCTCACTGGAGGACCAGTGTGTCAGGGGAAGGCGGCGTGGGATCTGGTTTTAGTGCAACTCTTTTGGCGTTAAGCATTCTGCACGTGTTCTGAGACCCTTTCTTGTTCTTTTATGTCCTGAGGGCGAACCTTGAAGCCACAAAGAGAGTCTGGCACTTATATGTGAGGTAATTGGGGTGATGGTGGTCTTGTCCGGTCAGGGGAAATCCTGCAAGGGGATTTTGGAGTCCCCAGCAACGTCATACGGGACATTAATTGAAAGTAAAAGGTCGCTTTTGAAGCCTTTGATTTCCTCTAAAATTGCAGGGATTCCTCAGATCCTAGATGAGTTGAAGCCGGTATAAGAACCAGCATAGATAGAAGCAGGCTGTTGTTTCTACCAAGCTTTCATACTCTTCTAGTAGTTGCAACAGGCAGACATTCAACAGGTGTCATATTTCCAGGCTTGCAAGGGTTGTTTCAGCAAACTCTACTTGTGGAGTGTCTGCCTATCCTGCTGTTTCCATTCTTTGAGTTGTTTCATCGTTGCTTATTTTAGTGTCTAAAATTTACAGTTGGGTCTATGCTGGAGGGCCATCTAGCTGTGAAGGCAGATGCTAAAAGGTGTACAAGCTTCGAAGATTTGGTCTAATGAAAAGATCAAAAGCTTGATGGCTTTTTTGTGCCTTAATGATGTTATTTCCCTAATAGATATTTTGCTGTTGGTTTTATGGCCAACACAGCTAATGATGCACTTTTATGTATTGCAACCACTCCCTGGATGGTCTTTCCCCCTAATTTTTTAGAGTTGTAAAAATGTGGAGGAATCTGGTGTGTGTGTGTGGATGTGCTTTCTTTATAAAGGTCATGAGGCTGTTATGTGCTGACCCTGGCCCTAAGCCCAAATCAAAACCCCACAGCATGCAATAATTATCGTAATACCAACACTATCGTCCCACTGGGAACATGGGCTTGATTTTGCTCCATATTCTGATGATCCCAGTACAGATATTGGGCAGAACCAAGGAGAGAACCAAGGTTTTTCACAAGAGAGTGAACCTGACAGCTCAGTTAGCCTGCTTTTTTAAAAATTTAAAAATCTGCTGCTAGCACCTTAATTGATTAATTGCACTGTTTATGTGATTAAATCAGTAAGCCTCCTAAGACCATAGGCTGGTCCCAGATGCAGGTCTAATTTCAGGAAGGCGTTCTGTTAGCTGCTAAAGGACAGGCTCCTAAAAGTGTTGCAGTCTGAAGAATTATGGAAGAATAAGATTGCAAAGATTCCGTCTCCCCCTTGGATTTTTCTCTTGCACCCTTAGCAGATGGCCCTCCTAGGCCACACATGCATCACTTGAATCCTGCACACCCAACTGCCATTCAAGATTCAGGAGTAGATCAGGGTGGTTATAATTTTATGGATCAGCACCTGATTTTAACCCATGTGCCTGTGTGCACATAAATGCAAGCGCCCACGCTGGCTGTAAATTTCGGTTAGCACATTTCTTCTTCTAATCTGCTTCCCCGCTGGAAGATTTCTCCTTATTTTGCCCGTTATCTCCTGCAAGATGGCAAAAATGTGGATTTAACCGTAGTGCTTCTGGTGCATTGTCAGCCCCACGCTGCGGGCTTGGCCTTCCCCCCTCCACCCCCTGTGCCTTGTGGGATTACAGCTGGCAGCATTTGATTGAGTCCTAATCCCCACGGTAGCAAAGAGAGAATTTAATCAGGAGTTTAATCTGTTTGTTGCCCTGTGTGATGTTTGTCCTGTCTCAGAGTCATGTGGCAGATGGATGGAAAAAGAGTCTCTTGAGTAGCAAATTACTCCTCCGGATAAAGGAGGCATCTGGCCTCTCAGCCAGGGGAGCTTTCCAAACAGCCAAAAGTTGGACCACAATCTTTGCTTACCCACAAATGGGGGAAAGGCATGTTCTTAACCTCCTCCACCCCCCGCCAGGGCTAAGTGGCCTGAAGAGAGACCCCAGAAAGACCTTGGAAATGACAAAGAATCCTGTGTTGCCTCTTAGGCTAAGAGATGCGTCATGCCCCACACTGTCATAGATTACAGTCCGTAAATAAATCTCTTACCCTGAAAGGTGCCTCCTCATGAGCAGGGATGGGGACTGGAGTCATGGGACTCACTGTTGAGTCAGGCTTAAGACATCCCTGCTCGTGACATTTGCCACCACGAGGCTTATAAGGGCGAAAGAGCAAGGAAAGTTTGGTTCTGATCTGTTTCTTCTCAAGAAGAGGCTCCTGTTACACTTGCATCTCCTCTGGAGGTAGTTACTGTTTCCAGAAAGGAGGGATAGTTGCATCACTGGTGGAGTCAGACGATTCACTGTTGAGTCGGGCTTAAGACATCCCTGCTCGTGACATTTGCCACCACGAGGCTTATAAGGGCGAAAGAGCAAGGAAAGTTTGGTTCTGATCTGTTTCTTCTCAAGAAGAGGCTCCTGTTACACTTGCATCTCCTCTGGAGGTAGTTACTGTTTCCAGAAAGGAGGGATAGTTGCATCACTGGTGGAGTCAGACGATGTTATCGGTTAAGATGCCATGGAAATCTTACACTTGCATCTCCTCTGGAGATAGTTACTGTTTCCAGAAAGGAGGGATACAGTAGTTGCATCTCCGATGTTATCGGTTAAGATGCCATGGAAATGTAACTGAGTCATACTTTTGTTATTGGTGGGAAAGAATTAATTGTAAGGAAGCCATTCATGAAGGAGCTGCTCAAGAGTTTCCCTTGGAAAGTGGGAGAACGTGCCTCCATAGGAGGTTTTTCAACAGAGACTGAAGGGCTGCGTCAGCTCTGCTGCAGATTTCTTGCACTGGCCGGAGGTTGGACTGGATGACCCCCCCCCCTCGGGTTCCCTTCCAACTCTGCAGGTCTCAGTTAACGGCCGTGCTGTGCCCTGACATCGGTCTTTGCAAGGTCCTTGCAGAGACGCATCCATGCAAGAGGCCACCCCTGCGTTAGTAGCTGTTCTGGAGCTGGCTGGCGCTCCTCCAGATACACACCACTCAAGGCCCTCTGCCCACGCGCTCGCCTCTCTTGACCTTGTTCCCCCACCCAATCTTGACCTCCAGTAGTCCTTTGCAGGGGGCTTCCTCTTTAAGCAGTGGAAGGAGAAATACCTCATCCTCTCGCTGGACGGGAGCCTCCTCGTCTGCCCGGACGCCAACTCCCCGGCCGAGCTGGACCTTCCCCTGGCTGCCAGCTGTGAAGCCATCCTGGAGGGCAGCGAGATCGGCGACCTTCCCCGGCTGCCGCTGGGGGCCCAGAGGGACAGCTGCCTGGGGCTGGACCTTCGCGACGGGAAGAGCCTGCTGCTGCTCGCCTCCAGCAGCCAGGAATGCAGGTAGCTTCGGACCGAGGGCCAAACTCCATCTAGAGCATGGGGTTGTGTTTTGGGGGGGGGAGGGGAGAGGGGGCA